TATTCAACTTGGGCTAGACGTTAGCCCAGTTTTGCGTGTAACTCAGGCCGCACATGTTTCGGCTTAGCCTTCGATTATAGCTAAGGTAGGGTGTCCAAATTCCAAACCCGAACTCGCCCACAGTCCTCTGCAGCTGGAAGTCATCTCCTTCCTCTCTCGTTTCGCTCTCATTTCCCACACGATCTGCAATCCTATAAAGACTACCTTTCAGCTTCCAATTTGAATTTTACCACAAACACAAAAAAAAAAAAAACAAAAAAATTTCCAATTTGAAACCGTAATGCAGCACCAACTGCAACACCAGACCACGGCAGCGGTTTCAACGCCTCCGTCAACTACAGGGGAGGCGCCGCCAAAGCAGGTGGCGCTGGCAATGGAAAGGCTGAGCCATGCCGCTAGGCTCATCGCCGACATCCGCCTCGGAGCTGATCGCCTCCTTGAAGCCTTATTTGTCGCTGCAGAGCCTCATAAAAGATCTAAGCCTCTTGATTTGTTCATTAAAGAAGATTCCTCCATGCGCCAACACCTCCAAGGCCTTCGCTCCATTGGTACGTATACTACTATTATGCTATGTGTGCTTTACAAACCATGGAAGTTTTAGGTTGATAGATTCTGAACAATTTTTTGGGTTTGTTAGGAAAGCAGCTAGAGGAATCGGGGGTGCTAAATGAATCCTTAAGGTCAAGAAGTAATTCTTGGGGCTTGCACATGCCGCTGGTGTGTCCTGATGGTGCAGTGGTTGCTTATGCATGGAAGCGGCAGCTTGCAGGGCAAGCTGGTGCATCTGCTGTTGACAGGACCAGGTTCATAGCTATTAGTATACACGAATACTATTTATATAGATGTTAATTCTGATGCATATGCTACAGGAAATTGCTTTAGAAATTTGCCTGATGTATTTTTTGGTTGCAAGTTTAGATACAAAATGGTAGCTCCCAGTTAGGTTTTTCCAGAGATTTTGGTATTAAATTAGTGGGTGTAACCCGCGTCATTCAATATTTTTTCATTATCATCTGAGAGTGTATAAAGTTTCTTGGGAGTTTTGAGTTAGTGATTGAAATGGATGTTTTTATTGTTGAAACATGGATATTAATTCAAAATTTAAGCTCTATTTACTACTAAATAGAACTGCACAAAGAGGCAGTTGAAGGATCTCCAAGTTGTTTTTGAAAGGTTTTAACTTTAAATGATTTGAAAATTGTATAGACTTCTGGAACCACTTGTTTCACGGCCTTCCTTGCTTGGTTTACATTGGCCTAATGTGGGACCAATGAGGGGAAAAGTTCAAAAGAATTGGTACCAAGCGTTGCTATCAGTCTTGCGCTGCATGGTCACTTGTGTAGGATTTGTGTTGTATTTCTTGTATAGATTAAAATGATTTCCAGAAGGCTTATATCAGCCATTTTATAATTTACTATGTTGCTTGAGACTTGTGGTTATACTAGTCTTTTGGAACAGGATCAAATATAGGCACTTTTTTTTTTCTTTTTTTCTTTTTTTTTCCCCCAAAACTTCTTTAAGTGATCATGTTTCTTTGTATATCATTTGTTCTTGCTGGCTAGTGCAGGGATTATTTAGTTCTGAGCTTTGGAAGCCTTCTTTAAGGCATAAATTTGTTCTTATAAATGCTGCAGGCTTGCACTCAAGGCCTTCACAGATCAGAAGAGGCGGTTTTTTCCTCACCTTGATGATGGACTTACCAAACCAGCATCAAAGAAGCATTGTGGTGCCCAAGCACTTGTAGAACATAACCAAGATAAACCTAAGAACTACAAATCACTTTCAGATGTTCTAACATGTTTGGAGAAAGAAGTTCCAAATTTGAAAATTTTCACTTATGAGCGACTGGACTGGTTGAAAAGAGCTTCTTCATTGCCTGCTTCAGCTGATGATAATTCCTTGCAAGGACCAAAACATACTTTTCCTGGTTCAAGCATACTTAGACCAACATCCCAGACTGTTGTTGCCTTTGATAAGGTAGCTGTAATTGAGCTGTTTTCTCCATCTATATTCAGAGCTGTAGTCTCATTACATCCAGCGGGCTCTATTGACCCAGATGCAGTGGCTTTCTTTTCTCCAGATGAGGTAATTTTGCTTTGTAAGTAGAAATGATTTTTGATTCTCCAGAGGTTAATCATGATAGGATCTTGTTAATTTGATCGTTGAAGATTCATGACCTTTAAATGCAGTGTGAATGCAATTTCCTTGAAGGCATGTAATGTGATTTTCTTAAGTCCATGGAATTAACAAATTAATTGGATGTAAATGATTTTTCTAACTTGAAAGGTAACATGACCAGCTTTAGAAAGTAAAAATTATTTGATTTTTGTTCTCCAGCTTGCTAATTTGATTATTACCTTTCACATTCTTAAACAGGGTGGGAGCTACGTACATGCCAGGGGTTCTTCAGTATACCATGTATTTAGACACATTACGGTAACAGTCTTTGAAGTTCATAAATTGTTTTCTCTTGTTCAGATTCAAAATGAAACTTTGTTTCACTGAAAGATTTCTTTGTTGATATACCTCAGGGGCATGCTGCTTTAGCTCTGCAGTATTTCATTGGCTTCAGGAGTGAAGCAGCTCTATATTCTCTTTTGGTATGTGCCTACACAAATTTTACTGGGGTTGCCTCCTCTTTCTAAATTTAAGTTTCCATCTTACTTCAAAGGCTTCACTGTACTCATTTTTAACGTTTCTTTTCTCCTCCACACTCTTTTTTGTTCTAAACTTATACTTTCATTTTGTAGCACTGGATCTGCAATTATCAAACTTTATTTAGCAAAGCCTGCAGGTATATTTGTCCTTTCACTTTGATTTCCTTAAAAATTTTAGAACATAAGAATTCACATACAAATGAATTCACTGTGAAATAAAATGAATTTTAATTCATTTGCATACCAAACACACAGTAAGAGATTTTTTACTTTGACCTTTTTATTAAGAATTTGGTGTTGATGCAGCGAATGTGGACGGTTACTTGCAATGGATAGACAATCAGCATTGCTATTACCTCCAGTCTCTCGTCCTTTCCGAAATTTTTCTACTTCAAAAACCTCATCAACAGGAGAACAAAACAACATGAATGCCCACCCAGCTTATCACATCGGCTGTTTTGCAGATGAAGCCTAGTCATATTTCATTGCTCTTGATAAGCCAACAAGTTGTAGTAGCTGGATAGAGGAAAAGAAAGGTTAAACCAACAACGATTCCAGAAGAATGTCTAACATCTCCATTTAGATTTATCTTTTGTCAACAGAGGAGAAAGAGAATGCTTTCCTAATTTTCCAACTTTTGTCAACAGAGGTGAAAGAGAATGTGTTCTTCCAACTCTCCGTTCCTTGTTTTCAAATTTCTCTTTACAAGATTTTGACATTTGTGGGGAAGAGGGTCTGTTTGTAGATTTATCTTTCTGTATAAGTTTGTACATATGCCTGAGGGAACTGGTGGCTGGCTTTGCACTCATTTTTTTCCATTATTTTGACTGTGTAACATGATCTGCAACAGAGGGGAGCTCCATTGCTGTATTGAAAATTCAGAGGAGCAATTATATCCATTTCCCTCTACTTGGCAGGTTTTTTTTTTTTTTTTCTTTTGGGGACAAATTTCAAGTATTCTCATAAATGTTGCTTGGTATATGAGGGATATTTGGTCAGATTTACTTGAACTGGTGCAAAGCTTACACCAATTCCTAATTAATCATTGGTGTGCCATGTTTTTTTATTATTATTAGTTTTAAGTTGTATATAAAAAAATACTTATTTTTCATTTCTTAATGTTATGTCATGTAACTAGAATAAAAATTCTTACTTTTATTGAAAAGATATTATTATTAAATTCTTTAAATAATTACTTTAATTCTTGAAATCAATATTTAAATTTTGAAATAATCAGCATGTGATTGTTATAAGAGTTACACTCTGCTATAAATTAATCATATCTGGGGATTATATTATTATTCTTAATATAAAATTTCTTCTGCATTATATTGGCTCAAAGGTCACAGCCTCTAGCTTTATGTCCTCTAGATTTGTCTTTAATTATTAGAGCCAAAGGGTGCATATCCATTGCACAAATAACAGGCTTCCAATGTCCGAAATGGAATGATCTGCTATAAATTAATTACATCTTGAGATTATTATATTATTTTTCACATAAAGTTTCTTCTGCGTTATATTAGCTCAAAGGTCATGGCCTCTAGATTTATGTCCCCCAGATTTTTGTTTTTAATTATTGGAACTAAAGTGTGCAAGTCCATTGCACAAATAACAGGCTTCCAGCTGTCCGAAATGAAGTGATATTGGATAGCATCAGTCACGTTTTTCAAGTTAAGCAATAGTCATATGATACGTCAGCCATGTCATTTTCACCATTTTGTTCGATCAATATCAGCCATGGATTGAATTGAACCATGTTTTTTTAGTTCGGTGGTTGGAAACTTTAGGGTATAGATTTAGTTAATTAAAAATTTGACTTTCACCAATTATTTAAAAAAATTTATGTTCTCATAATTTTTTAATGTTAAAAAATAATAATAAAAAAAAATAAAAATAACAGTCATGAATTGGAGAATTAACTTGTGGTGGAGTCTATTAATTTTTTATAAAAACCTTCTCATATTAATTTAAAGTATGTGATTTAAGTGA